ACATTGTGTGTGGAGTGCCTCAGGGTTCTGTTTTGGGACCTAAATTATTTATACTATACATTAATGATATATGCAAGGTTTCTGATTTAGTGAAAGTGGTTTTGTTTGCTGATGACACTACCATATACCTACAGCAACTCTCTGGACGGGTTTCACAGGAACTTGAGAAGATACAGAAATGGTGTGATAGTAATATACTATCTCTGAATTTGGATAAAACTAAATTTATGGTATTTGGGAATTGTAGACTAGATAATGAACTTCAATTGAAAATTGGGGGAGCTAATATCGAACGAGTATATGAAATTAAATTTCTAGGTGTCATAGTTGATGACAAATTCTCCTGGAAATCTCATATCAGATATATTCAGCATAAAATAGCAAAAAATATATTGATATTGGCAAGGGTTAGATATATTTTGGACGGGAAAGCACTACACGTTTTGTATTCTTCATTGATTTTACCATACTTTGAATATGGTGTTGAAAACTGGGGAAATACATACATAAGCTCACTTCAACCATTGTATATATTACAAAAAAGAGCGATAAGAATTGTGCATAAGATGGGGTATAGGGATCACACCAATGTAGCTTTCATACAGTCTAAATTGTTAAAGTTTTTTGATTTAGTGGGATATAAGACTGCTGTGTTTTTGTATAAAGCCAGGAACAATTTATTACCTGGTGGAATTCAAAAACTATTTAATGAAAGGGATGGGGGATACAATTTAAGGGGTCAGTTAAATTTAAAAATTCATGCTATACGTACAACCAAAAAAAGATTTTGTATTTCCATAAGTGGGGTAAAACTATGGAATAATTTAAGTGTAGACATAAAAAATAGTAATAGAATTGATGAGTTTAAACATAAATATAAAGGTATGTGTCAATCAAGATATATGCAAGAACAGGCTTAATGATTAATTAGATGGAACATTGTGGGTGTGGTGTATGAATGTTAACACTTTGTAATAATTCTTTAGTATATTACTTGTGTGGTGTAGAAGATAATTAATTAAGAATGTAATTATGTAAGAATGTTAACAGTTATAATTTTTTTGTATATTGTGTGGTGTAGAAGAGAATCATTTACTGCTTGCAAACCAATGATGTAAGATGATGTCATGGGGTAGGACTGGATAAGTCTGACTTCTTCCTACTCCATTCAAGCATGTACTAGGTATAAGTAAGTTGATATTGGATTATGTGTAAAATTATGTGTGTTGTCATATCAACTGTTTCTACATGCTTGAAAGAATAAATCAAATCAAATCAAATCAAATCAAATATGCACCTGAAAGTAGTCCCTAACAGGTACACTTTTTACTGCGTGTAATATTTGCTAAAACTACAGTGGCCAGCTGTTATAAGAAATGATTCCAACTGATTAGTTTCTAAAGATTTACATCCTCCAAACTAGCCAACAAACTGGTTAAGGAAGTCAGGAGGCATTAGGAGAACCTATACATTGTTTGTTTTTAGTGTTTTCATGGGATTTGTTGTAAATAAAAAAAACAATGTAAAAAGTTAAACTCACAGAAAAGTTGAGAAGAAATGTCTCTTCCACATCACCTCCTTCATAGTCCAGAAGTTCTTGTAGACTCCTACAAAATAATAGATGAAAGGAATTAATGCACTTCCTTCTTGTTAACATCTGCTACAAATCATAAATCTGCTTTGGTTTGACATTTAAAATGAAAACCTGAGATCAAACAGACGGGGGAACTAACTGTGAGAGTAAGAGCACTAACATAATGTAACAGTAGGAAATTACTCAAAGGTAATGTTTTGTTTGTTTTCCTGCCCTCAAAACAGAGGAAACATGGTCAGGGAAGAAACGAGCTGGCAAAGGAAATGCTAAATAGTCAAAGAAACTTGAGAATTGACCTCATATACTAGGCTGAGATCAATTTGCAGAGGTGGAAAGTAACTAAGTACATTTATTCAAGTACTTTTGGTGGTATTTGTACTTCAGTTTTTTTTTTCCTTTTGTGCTACTTCATACATTGACATAATTATATTATTGAGGCAAATATTGTATGTTTACATTTATTTGATAAGTTTGTTCATTTTTAGAACCAGATTAACAAAACAAAATACAGTATAATACAAAGTAACAAACAGACAGTCCTGCCTTAAAAAGTGACCTTGGCACCACAGTCACCTGGCCACAGTGGGTGAGAGCTCCTTGAAGTCCTCCAGCATTGGTATTACATCAAGCAGCTTCTTATAGAGAGCCAGGGGGAAATGGAGATCCACCACAGTGGAGTTATAGATGGCCAAACCGCAGATGATCCCAATCAGGTGAAACCAGTTCTGCTCCACAAAACACTGGAGACACAGGGAAGTTATTGCACTACTGGCCTTTCTACCTACTTGTACTTCTCTAACATATACAATGACTGATGACTTTTCACATTACACAAACTGAAAGCCTAAAGAGATGATGATATACCAGCCAGATGAGGTGTCTATAGCTATGCTTGGTGGTTCTGTGAGGAAGAGTGGTGCTTTGAATGCTAACATCTTCACAATGACAATGCCAACATGTCTACCAAGTATAGAGCTTATGATGTTAACCATCTGAGCATGTTAGCATGTTGAAATTTCCTAATTAGCAATAAACGCAAAGTATAGCTGAGGCTGATGGGAAGGTCATTAGTTTTGCAGATATCGGATAATGAACCCAAGTATTACAGACGTTAGTTTAAAATACATATATTAACAATTACATGCCTGGTTTTGGCATTTAGAGCAACAAGAATGAAGAAGAGCCAAAAGAAAAATATATATACTCCAGTTAATACCCATAAATATGCTCTTAAAGTCACAAATGTGTATATATATATATA